GTACCCGCTCCTCGTTGGTTTCCCCTTTCCCTGGCCCTCTCCACCCTCCCCCCCCCCCCACTCCCCACTCCCGCGGCGGCGCTCGCCGACCATCCCAACGCTGTTCTCTGTTGCAACATCCCCTCATCCCGCAAGTTACACACACACAGGCACACACGCACACACACGGGCACACACGGGCACAACGGCACACACAGGCACACACTTCGGCCTGGCCCGTTGGCAGTCGTCGCGCCACGCGCAGTTTTTCTTCATTCCCAGCTCACTCGCTGCCTTGGCACTGTCGTCACAGCCCACGCAGATTAGGACACTGGGCCCTCTAGGGTCGGGCCACATGGACATGCGGTCGCAGGCCGGGCGCAAAATTAGTCTCCCGGCCGACGTCTCTGACGCCGTTGGCATCGGCCTGTATGGCTGCGATTTCTATCGCCTGCAGCGCACGTACGGGGGGGCGACGGTCGGCGATCGAATTGAGATCCGCGCGCCGACAAACTTGATGATGTCTAAATTTGTGTGTTTTGTGTGAGTCGAGATTTGCCATACTGTACGAGAGATGGTGTGTTGTGTGCATGGGTTTCGCATCCTCTCTACATGCTGTGCCATTTCCCCGCGTATCGGCCCACAAAGATGCAAAAAAATCTTTAGTGTGTGACGCCTCGGCACCTCTCTCCCTCTCTCTCTCTGCACAGGGTAGGGGGGTGTACCGGTTCTGGCTTTCCAGCGCGCCGTGGGTGGCTGGTCAGAGCAGGTCCTGCCTCCCAACGCTCGCCAGACCGCCAAGGCGCCCCAGACTCACCCCGCCGCCTCTCCCGCACAGTACACAGCCTGCCGACCCCAGCATCAGCCTCTCAACGGCCTGCGCGCCGAGGCGGCGAGGGCGAAGAGTACAGATCGTACAAGGCGTATTGGTAAAGAAAAGCCTCCTCCTGCGAGATTGCATCAATCTCCGTCTGCGAGAGCATGCCGTCGTCGTTCGTGTCGAACTGCGTTGCTTTGACGCATCGGTTCACAGTCTTGCATGTAAACTCCATTCCCTTTTCATCCGGGAGCCCGACCTACAATTAGAGCGATAAAGTCAGATGAGCTGAGATGTCTGTAATGAGCAGTTGAGCAGTGAGAGAGATTCGCGCCACCACTGCAATGGGCGGGTCGACGGGGTGTGCGAGTGCGAGAGAGATGGGAGTGGCGAGAGGGGGGCACCACCGCACTCTCTGGAGGGAGGGAAGGGGGGGGGGGGGGGCGTGTCTGATTTGCGACAAGGCTCGCGCACGCCGATCATGCGCACGCAGGATGGCCAGCTTCTGAGGCGGGCTGCTCTCGGGGAACGCCAGAGCAGGCATCAGGGCCTTTGTGTGGCGGAGCGGGGGGAGGCACCGACGAGGTCAGCGCGTCTGCTTTGAGGGCACGGAGCTCCCCGCCGAGGAATCCGCCGACCATCGCCAGCAGGAAGAAGGAGAAGATCTTGAAGAAGCCCTTGTAGAGCGGGGCTTCCTTGGGGTTCATCATCCTCGGCGCCAGACCTGTGCGAGTCAGAGTGCATGGTGAACGGTACATTGAGATGTAATGTGGCGGCATGAGCAGCATGCTTGGGGGTGGGATCAGGTGAGGGATTGTGTGGGCCCATGCGCTGCCGCGCGCGGGCACCCCCCGCAGTCAGACGCGGACGCGGGGCGCACCCCAGGCAGGGAGGGGCTTCGCGCTTCGCCGCAGCGAACGTACGTCCGTCCTCAACGATGTTGATGACAGACCAACCCCAAATGATGTGCACTTTTAGCGACTGCTCTCTTTCTCAATGTAGGATGTACGTCTCTCTCAGGATGTATGTGGCTCTTACGTACATTCCCGGAGGAGGACTGTTTCTAATGATGTGTGAGTGTTAGAGGGTAGAAAGGTGAAGAATTCATTTTATATATAAAGGTGAAGAACAGCCAGGGACACCAACGCGGTATGAGTGCGCGCGTTTTTCTTCATTCATTCCAGCATCACTCGCCTCTCCCGCTGCGTCATAGCCCCGGCTGTTTCGCAACACGCCATGCAGCCCTGCTTGCCCCGACGAGAGGCGGAGGATGCCGGCTCCCTCGAGCATCGCGCTGCGATGCACGCGGTGCATGCGGCCCGTGCGTCTCTCGCGGCGGTGGAGCAGCGACTCCAGAGCGGCCAGCTGAGGGCAGCGCTCGTGGGCGACGTTGTCGGCCGGGCCTTCGCACCGATGGCCGCTCTGTGTGCCTCGGTGGGCTCGCCCGCGGCAGGCGATGGGTCCAGTTCCGCGCTCAACGCAGCCGGGCAAGCGCGGCCCTGGCAAGCGCAGCCTGCGGGACCGCCGCTATCGGCCGGGCGGCCCGCGGAGCGGTCCGATCGCTATGTCGTGGTCGAGAGGCGGCCCGGGGAGAGGTCCGATGTCCTGCGGCGGTGCGGGAACTGCCCGGCCTGCCGCTCGCCCGACTGCGGTCGATGCCGCGAGTGCCAGGACAAGGCCAAGTTTGGCGGGCCGGGGATCCGGAAGAAGCCCTGCCTCGCCCGCCTCTGCCCCTACAAGAGCGCGGTCGACCACCCGTCTGCGCTCTCCGCCCCCGCGCTCGCCCACCCGGCGCAGCGGGCGCCGGCGGCAGCGGAGGGGAGGGAGGCGGCCCACCGCGACCTCCCTCGCGAGGTGATCAACCGCGAAGTGATGCGGGAGGTGCTTGCTCCGGCGGCGTCCGATAGCGTCGAGACCGCGTCGCCGCCGCCGGCGGAGACTGGCGACTCGCAGTGGCTCAGTGCGGGCGTCTCGAGCGGTGAGCGTGCGCCACTCTCGGCGTCGAGACGCAGCGCCGCCCGCCCTCCCTCTCCCTGGAGCCCGGGGCCTCTGCATTCACACGCGCGCTCTGGTCCCGCCTCTGCATTGCCCTCTGCATTGCCCATCCCTGATGACCCCATGCGCCCATGCCTCCCCCACTCAGGGCCGCGGGTGCGGCTCGGCGCCGACTATCAGGTCGACCTTCCGGAGTGGGCGCCGGGCTCGTCCGCCGACCGAGGCGACCAGCGGAGTGGATGTCCGGACGTGTCCAGGACGCGTCCAGTGGATGTCCGGACGTGTCCAGGACGCGTCCAGGACACGCCCGGGACATGTGCATGGACATGT